GGCATGGTATGGCATGGCATGGGATGTCATGGGATGAGATGGGATGGGATATGGGATGGGATGGGATGGGATGCGGTGCGATGGGATGGGATGGGATGGCATGGCATGGAATGGATGGATGGATGCATGCATGGATTCATGGATAGATAGATAGTTAGATTTTTTGGGGTATTTTCCTTTCAACCAAGCGGTCACCAACTGAGTAACGCCCGGCACTGATTTCCCCGGGCAACGCCGGCTATCCCGCTAGTATATATATATATATATATATATTTATATATATACACTTTAGTATGTGAATGAGTTTAAACAATCTGACTGTCATCTAAAGTATGCATATATTTCAATTAATAGAGAGCGATGAGCAGGAGCAGGCACCGCAATTCAAATTGAAGTTGCGCAACCAGAAAGTTACTGAGGGTGGCCCGGCTGAGTTCATGTGCATTGTGACGGGATATCCTATACCCTCACTTAACTTCTATAGGAATGGCAAGAGAATAGCAAACTGTGATCGCTACACAATTGGTAAGTAAATACATATGTTTCTTTCATATGGTAAATTGTTGCTTTAGTCAGATCCGATTTTTGGTTCAGCAAACTGTAGATGAGCCTTCTCGTCCCCATCGTCTGTATGCCAGTATGGTAGAAAGATCTTTACTGACGTAATGTTGAACACATGTGAGTAATTTCTGATGCAGTGCCTTTTTTACTATGTTTATCACTCACAGTATTAGCTAAGTTCTTTTAAAGGCTTTTTCATATCCATAGATTCTTAACTTATTGACGCTTGTTTATCCACCCTTTATTAAGTAGCAAACATATTTTTATTACCGATTGAAACTTGAGGTTGGTTTTCACTGCATATACATGTATATTATTGTAATAACACTGATGTGGCAGAAATTACACCTATTCACTTTATTCTCCATGCTTGTGTCTTGATTTCAACTACATAAAATATCATTTAAAACTTATCAAAAAATAGAAATTTGAAAAAATATTAAAAAACGAAACTGGATCGGTGGGCAATATATAAGTTCCATTACCTGAAATGCAGAGAGTCTCGGAGGAGGGGAGTGGACACTTGTCATCCACCCAACGACCTTGATTGACAATGCTATGTTTATGGCTGTGACGAAGAACCGACTAGGGAAAGAGGAGTGCTCTGCGAACCTAACCGTGGTCTCCAAAGGCAAGGCAGTCATCTACATGTAAAATCTAGATTTCCAGAGGACACATTACACCATTTGTTGATAGTGTAGCGTAAAGTGACACGTGAACATTTTAACATGTTATGATGAGAAGTCTGATGCCGTGGGCATTTGCCGATTAAGTGCGTGCCAGTTGATGTTGGAACTGATGTCATTTTAAAATTTCATTTATAGGAAAGAAAAGTGCTTCATTGATAGACCTCTCCTCTAGGCTGGCTGATATTGAATTCAGGCAGCTGAATCGATCAGGATCTGAGATGACTGTGTCTAGTAAGGTGAGGTAACACCTGAGTCATAGCTGTATTTCTTTTATATTTTAGTTCTTATTTTAAAAGGGGGTTTCATATAGTTTGCTATGTATATATATATACGATTTTTTTCTTTGCATACCCCACTGTTGTCGGCTAGGGCCATGTAGTAGTTAAAACTACGTTTAAGACACTTGTTCGCTAAAACTGAATTCACACACAAACTCATCGCATAATTAAGCCAGTAATATAATTATCTGAAATGGAGGCGAGTGAATTTTGTGTTGTTTCTTGCATTGCCTAAAAATATTTGTTTGTGGTAATCTCTGTAATACACATTATACTTATTACTGGCATGACGTGATTTTGTTTCATGCATAGGAACAAGGTCTAAAAGTACCACCTAGAAATAAGAAGAAGCTGGTGTCACCATCAGAAATTCCTATACACAATGAGCTGCAGAAATACTATGATGAGGTAGATATAATGGGGAATGTGAGGAGTCAATACTTTGTTGCCTCCTGCTGTTGCGTCTCAATTTATATAACTATTTTTGATAGAAATTTTTACTTGTCTGTTTTGATATCCTCTTTATAAGTTAACGTTACATGACATTTAACACATACCAATGATGAGATGTTTTTTTTTAAAGATGAAGGCAGAGAGGGAGAGGCAGGAACACGAGGCATATGAGCCGGCCAGGCATAAGTCTACATATAACATAAACATAGATAATCTACCACCACCTGAGTAAGTTGCTGGTTAGGCAGGCATATAATTGCTTGCAATCATACAGAAACCTGAAGCGATTGTGTTACCTTCCTGTTGTATCATGCTGGTTGTTTAGAACCAGCTTTTTCATTGCCATGCCAACATGACATCACACTTCGGCTCTCTATTCTTGTAAAGGTCATAGGGAAATGCAAAATGGTAGTGCTTAGCTAGTAGCCTAATGTCACATGTGCAAGTCGTGTTAAAATTTTGTTACCACGTTTGCAAGTGATTACTCTCAAACGAAGAAAGAAAATAATAATGTGAATTTACATGTCTGGCTAGCTTGATTAACAGATTGTGAATTGTTCAGAATTGTGATAGGATGTTCTAAAAACTGCTTGGTATCTACATCCTCCAAATGTGACATTTTGGTGTGCATACCAGAAACTGAATTAGCATGACCAACTGGGCAAGAGTATCCAAGGGGGGTACAGTTTTCCCACCGAGAAAGATATAGGTCAATTGACCATGAGTAATATTTTGCACCTTCTATAGTGTCTGCATTGACGGGGAATTTTGCTTTGACAGCCCTGAGGAGGACGAGAGTGTGACGCGAGAGCGTGTGACGCGAATCATTGAAGAGAGGACCCGCAGAGAGATGCTGAAGCTCACTGCTGGCAAGATGAAACCTGTGCCGCAGCCAGAGAGACCATGGCCAAAGGTGGAGCTGAAAAGAGAGAGGCCGCCTCCAATGACTAGAACGCAGGATGATCGACGCGTTCCATATCAGGTGTGAGATCCAGCACGCTAGATGTTAAATATCATGTCGTCATTATGTATCTCATCTGTTTATTCATCAGTAAAACAAGCCAACTCATCTACTCGACAGTCGGACGTAAGACCTATGACAAATAGCGATGAAGATTTTGACTTCAAGGTAACAGTTTGAGATGAATAGCGGTTAAAATCATGGTTGTATTGATTTGATCTGGAGTTATTTTTTAACAGGAGTTTGAGAAGATATTCTATGGTGGGGAAGAAAACGTACCACACCCCCTGGTTGGGGATCATGTCGGTGAGACTCCTTATGACATCTACATAACTGAAGGAGAAGCTCGCATCGACTGTGGCCTGAAGAGCATCAAACAGGAGCAGTACTTGAGAGACTACTACGTGCAGGGTTTGAAAAAACAGCAGCATAAACCGGCTGAGAAGCCATCAACTAGCGGAGATATGGTGCGTATTTAGTTTTGGGAGTTTCTTTCTTAAACATGGATGTTTTACAACTCAACTCAGTATTTTATACAATGCTCATGTCCTTCTCATAATGAGGTTATTTTTATTATAATGATTTTCGTGTTAGCTGCCACCGTGTTAGTACCGTGATATGTTTTATTGTATCCCCCGAACGAAGTTCGTGGGGATACTATGGATTTGGCCTCGTCGCGCCGCCGCTGCCGCCGCCGCCGCAGAGATTTCCTTGTGAACGCTCTACCGGCTGCAGTTCTCGGATCATCTTCAAATTTCGCATGAAGGTGCATTATCGTAAAGCGAAGACGCCTATTGTTTTTGGTGTGGGCGGAGTCATCGTTGCCATGGTAACAACATTTTTTGTCGAAATATTCTAGAACCTGTAACTTCTGCACTTTTTACCCGATTGTCATGAAATTTATATTTGTATTAAAATTTATATTAAAATTTAAATTTTAAAAATTTAAAAATTTAAAAAATAAAAATTTAAATTTAATATTTGTATTAAAATTTGTATTTAAATTTATAATTAAATTTTCGATTGTCATCAAATATATATATATACATATATATATATAGGACATGTTATATCGGCCCTGTGTGCCAAATTCCATGACAATCGGGTAAAAACAGCACAAGTTACAGGTTCTACAATATTTCCACAAAAATGTTGTTACCATGGCAACGATGACTCCACCCACACCAAAAACGATTGGCGTCTTCGCTTTACCACAACGCACCTTCATGCCAAATTTGAAGATCATCCGAGATCGGGTAAAAACTGCCCACCAGGTCACTGCGACCTTTATTTCACTTTTACCTTGACCTTGATCATATTTCCCTTCCGCTCTCTAACTCGGCCCCTAATTGATCTAGCGCGACCAAACTTGGTATGCTTACACATTTTGAGGAGAAGGTCTGTCGCATACCAAAACCACCACTGCCCTTGACCTTAGTTTGACCTTCACCGTCGACTTACATTTCCTCTTCGGCCTCCTAGGGTAACCAGATTCCATATACTAGCACATCTGAGGCACACCAGTTGTCTAACAAACCTTTGTCTTTGTCACTTATTTAACTTTACCTGCCTTCTACGTCCTTACAGAGATATTCCATTCACGGGGGATACATGTAGTTGGCGACAACTGCTCGTTTCTAGTTTAATTAGTTATTTTTGTTATCGGTGAAAAAATTCTAAACCACTATCATGAATTCCAGTTCTTGTCTACTGTAGCTGCTAATACAATATGTTTTGGCTTTTAGATTGTAAAGAATGTGAATGTACCAGTAAAACCACCTGAAACAGAAAAAGACATCAGCATAATTGTGAAGAAAGAGAAAGTAAATAAGAAGGATGTTGACGTAACTGTAAAGAAACAGCCAGCTGCAGAGACCGACGTAAATGTCACTGTGAAGAAACAACTCACAGTTAAAGAAGACCTCAACATCGTAGTATCGAAACAACCCATAATCAAAAAGGATGTAAACATAACTGTGACGAAAAAGCCAGCTACCGAGAAAGATGTTAGCGTAATGGTGAAGAAACAACCTAGGGTTGAAAAGGATGTCAACGTCACAATAAAGAAACAGGCAGTGACTGAAATGGTGAAGCTTGTAAATGCTCCGAAAATCTATAAACCAGGTATTTATATAAACGATAAATATATATATATTATATATATATATTTGTATAAAAATAAATATATATATACTGTAATCTATCGCATTTTGATAAGATATTCTGGTAGTCAGGTGTAATGGCTGGGATATGCATATGCATTCGCAATCTTTTGTAAATCAATTAGATGTTCGATAAGTTTGCATGCTGTTTTGCAGAACCTCCAGATGATCCGAAGGTTGTTATAGCAGAGCAGAAGAAACCACCAGCTGACACAGAGATTCAGGTTCAGACACCTCGAGTGGCTGCACCCGTCACTAAACCAGCTTCAGATGTCAACCTGGAAGTTACCCTTCAGCCGCACATAGACAAGAGCATGAATGCAAACGCTGAAGTAAAAATACAAAGTCCCAAAGTAAAGCAGCATGCAAGCGAGTTTAATGTTAAAGTGCACAAGGATCTCAATGTTCCGAAACCCAGCTCTGATGTCAAAGTTCAAACACCGAAAGTTCACCATGATGCTGATGTTGTTGACGTCAACCTGGAAGTTATCCTTAAGCCGCACATAGACAAGAGCATGAACGCAAACGCTGAAGTAAAAATACAAAGTCCCAAAGTAAAGCAGCATGCAAGCGAGTTTAATGTTAAAGTGCACAAGGATCTCAAGATTTCCGAAACCCAGCTCTGATGTCAAAGTTCAAACACCGAAAGTTCACCATGATGCTGATGTTGTTGACGTCAACCTGGAAGTTATCCTTAAGCCGCACATAGACAAGAGCATGAACGCAAACGCTGAAGTAAAAATACAAAGTCCCAAAGTAAAGCAGCATACAAGCGAGTTTAATGTTAAAGTGCACAAGGATCTCAATTTTCCGAAACCCAGCTCTGATGTCAATGTGAATGATCCGAAGGTTGTTATAGCAGAGCAGAAGAAACCACCAGCTGACACAGAGATTCAGGTTCAGACACCTCGAGTGGCTGCACCGCGTCACTAAACCAGCTTCAGATGTCAAGCTGGAAGTTACCCTTCAGCCGCACATAGACAAGAGCATGAATGCAAAACGCTGAAGTAAAAATACAAAGTCCCAAAGTAAAGAGCATCATGCAAGCGAGTTTAATGTTAAAGTGCACAAGGATCTGAACAATCCTGTTCCGAAACCCAGCTCTGATGTCAAAGTTCAAACACCGAAAGTTTACCATGATGCTGATGTTGTTGACGTCAAGGTCCGCAAAAATGAAAGGTATGTGCATTATATGTATATCATATATTATATATCATATATATATATTATATTGTTTACTGCTCATTTAGTTATATCCGTCAGTCCAACATGCAGACAGGAAATCCTTGTTTAAGGGGAAATCTATTCGTTTTTACTAGAACAAATTTAATATATGGTAGGTATTTAAACCTAATATGTATAGATGATTTGTGGTGCTGAACTTGACCGCTTGGAAGACTCCGGGAAGTACCCCTGCGTTGTGTGCAGGAAGGGAGTTGGGAGTAATTCCGTCCGCTGTCGCGGCTGTGCACACTGGTTACATAAGAAGTGTAGTGGCATAAAAGGCCGACTCAATGACGACCCGGATTTCTGTTGCAAGCGGTGCATGGGCGATGCCCGCCCATTTGATGGCAGACCACTGTTAGAGGTGCAGATTGGGCAGGACAAACTGGAGGTGGTACCCTCTTTCTGCTACCTTGGTGATACTCTCTCGGCGGGTGGTGGCTGTGAATTAGCCACTATCATTAGAGCAAAGACCGACTGGGGGAAGTTTCGGAAGCTGCTTCCTGTCCTGACATCTTGACATCTGTCCCTCAGGACTTGTGGTCATGTGTATGGCACCTGTGTCCGTAGCGCCATGCTGCACGGGGGCGAGACATGGGCAGTGAAATCTGTTGACTTGCAACGCCTCCGGCGTAATGACAGGGCAATGATCAGATGGATCTGCAATGTCACAATCTAAGATTTGGCCCCTTCAAACGAGCTGCTGGGCAGATTTGGTATCTTGGACCTTGATGTCATATTACGTGAGAGAAGACTCCGCTGGCATGGCCATGTTCAGCGCTCCACCGGTGCCATCAAGACAGTTGGTGAAGTTCAAGTTGTTGGTGTAAGGAGACGTGGGAGGCCGAAGATGTCTTGGAAGGAGGTTGTAAAAAAGGATAGGGAACAGTGGAATCTCTCCGCTGTAGACCCCTTGGATCGTGTCATATGGAGAGCAAGCGTGAGAGCTGCCAAAACTGGACCGAGCCAGATTCCTGGAGTGGGTTTCTACTGTTGTGGATTTAAACCCTTGAGTCCAGTATAAAATAAAGAAACCGAAAACAACAACAACATGTTTAATGTATTGCAAAAAGTATGGAATAAAAGTATTATATACGTAAAAGCTGTAGTGGCAGTACGAGGAAATGTAAATAAATAGATGCTACATGGGTAATATGATTGTATGTTGAACTTGTAGCCCTGTATTTTACTCTAGTTTCTGTTGAACACTTAGAAAAGAGCTGGTACGAATGCCATCTGTGACTGAACTCCGACAAAAATTCATTGAAGATCAGAAGAAAAAAGTGAGCATGAGATTAATCATATTGTTACTGGCTATCAAGTACTACTATGAATGCAATTTAAAATGCTAATAAATACGACAATCTTAGTTTAATCAGAAGTTACTACTTTAATTACTTTCATGTGATGTGCTACAAATGATATTATCTTAAAGTTTCTTGTATTTTGAATTACACTGGTTTTCTACAGTGCTCCTCATTGCACTATTTGTGGATAATGTGACTGTCTAGGTTGCGAAAATGCGCATAATTCACTACAGTGGCCGCACTAGACTCTCTGTCTGCCGTCACTAATGTGAGAAAGCAAGCAAGCGGTGCATATGTTCCATACTTATATTTATAGACGCCGCCACGAGAGCCGGTGAAGCCTGTCCGTAAAAAGTGGAAGCCGCCGCCGCGCGACGTACCTGACATCGCTTCGACTCCCAGATTGTCTGACGAGCAGGTGAAGCTAGTGAGCAGTGAACGACGCACGAAGCCGAACCAGCGGCTGGACATGTCGTTCCCGGACGTCGAGGTCACCATCAGGAGCAGCAATCTGAAGCGCATACAGGACAGCGAGATGACGTTCAGCGAGCCGGTACTCGTGAGCACGCCGATCCGCAACTCCGCTGTAGACGATCGCCTCGTACGAGTCAATCGCTTCCTTAAGGAGGACAAGAGTAAGACGGAGAGCCAGCCCGACCTGTCGAAGAGCGGCGCGCGCTCTCTGTTCGCCGACAGCACTAACTACACGGCAATTACTTCACCCGAGCCGCTCACTACGCTACCGCCGCCCACCGTCACGACGGAGGTCATCACGGACCGACTAAACCACAGTGCAGCACCGCAGCAGCAGCCGCTTGTCAGCGTCTCGATGGCGGAGCCGCGCAGTCCACCGTATGCCGTCACGCCGTACACGCCGCCGGTCACTGTTAACACGGCGATGTCGGACAACGCGCCGGCTGAACCGCCTGTGCAAGGCAAGAAGCGTGTCGTGAAGAAGACTCATAAAACAACGAAGGTGACGCACAAGGAATCTCATCGGGTCGGTAGCACGCCCGAGTTGTTGCGAGAGGTGAATTTGCTTCAGAGCCACGCTGAAGAGCCCGTATCCAACCAGCTGGTCGTCAGAAATACCCACGAAAATCAAGAAAACGACTCGAATGCCGACTCATCAGAATTAAACGATTCGCAAGGTCCGGCAGATGCCAACGCGGCGGACAAACGGAAGCCACGCAAGGTGACCAAGTTTAAGAAGACGACGACCATTACCACGAGGACGATAAAGAAAGTCGTGCCAGCGAACAGAGGTCAGCAAGATGAGGACATGCCGCCGGTGTCACCATCCGTGTATCCAGCGATCGAGATGTCGCCGTCCGTATCAGACTCCCCAGAGCCAGTGCCTGACTACGAGCGAGGTAGGTCGTCCTCCAGTACGCCCCGCACCCCACCGCCAGACTACGACAACAAGAACCTGTCCGTATTCGACACGCAGTCACCGGAGCCGGGTGTCTACTCGTCGCTGGAGCGCATCAGAAGTCCCGTGCACTACAGTAGCGGTAGGGTCCAGCGCAGTCAGTCGGCGAGGGAGGAGACACGATCCGGTTCCTATCGGCCGCGAAGCCGCGAGCCGACTTCAGGCAGGCTTCGGCACGACTCGCCGCCGCAGGACGGATCCCTGCCCCGTCACGGATCGCTGCCCCACCACGGATCGCTGCCCCATCACGGATCCCTGCCACAGGACGGATCGCTGCCTCGTCACGGATCGTTGCTGCACGGCAGCCAGCCGGTGACGACGCCGCGGCACGCGCTGCTGTGCAAGGAGAACTACGAGCTGACGCAAAGCTCGCCCGACCTGAACAACGGCGAGTTTGGTCACGCGCGCAGCGCCGGCGGCGGTGGCACCCGCCACGAGATGATGACCATCAACGAGGGAGGCGAGGCGAGGCACGGTGGCCGGCAGCCGGCCCGCGTCCACCGCGACGACAGCATGACATCGAGCTCTGCTGACGCACCCCACCAGCGGATGGCACCACCGAGACCGTACCGCGATGACAGTGTCACCGCCAGCAGTCCGGACGTGCCTCACTACCGAGGTGTGTCTACACGACCATACCGCGATGACAGTGTCACCGCCAGCAGCCCGGACGTGCCTCACTACCGAGGTGTGTCTACACGACCATACCGCGATGACAGTGTCACCACCAGCAGCCCAGACGTGCCTCACTACCGAGGTGTGTCTACACGACCATACCGCGATGACAGTGTCACCACCAGCAGCCCAGACGTGCCCCACCGCCGCAGACCACCAACGGGGCCATACCGGGATGATAGCACCACAGCAAGCAGCCCGGACATCACACGCTACCGCTCCCGTCCACCTAACTCATCCAGCCAGCCAGACTTGTCCGCGTCGAGGTCCCCTCATCGTGGCGGCGCGTACGGACAACGCTCACTGCAAAGGGTCGACAAGCGCAAGTCTCCGAGCGCCGTTCTCGCAAGAGCCAGCTTTTGGGACAACAGGGTGCAGGATAGCAAAGCTTCTGACAAGGAGGCAAACTTGGACAACTTTCCAGCGATGCATCCCACCTATCAATAAGCAATCTTCCGGTTTCAGGTTTCTCTATCGATCATTTCTGTACTGTTTATAACATGTGGCCAACATGTGTTCAATGCACGCAGTTTTTAGGTGAATATATATGCGGTATATGCCTCCGATACCTGTAACTAAATTTTATGTTATACTGCATTGTGGTTGTGCTGTCTAAATACTGGGTTGTACATTTACAGACAGATAATGTGTGGTCTTTCGCACAAATTCCTTGTCAATGTGGACCAAATTCGTAATAGCTGCTATGGTGCTGTAACGCGATGGATTTTGTTGTCTTGTTAACCTGCTCTTAAGTTATACACATTGGGTTCAAAACTGTTAGGTAGAACAGGTGCAAGTACCTACAAGTACACGGGTGCAAAACTGAGGTGTGTGTAGATGTACTTGCATAACGTGAAGTTTTGCCGAGTGTAAAAATGAAGATTAGTAATCATGAGTAAAAATATCAAAAGATTTTGATTGTTATAATGTGTGCTAAGTCATTCAAGAGGAAACATCTTGATGTGTCAGTAGCCAGAATGAAATCAATTTGAACATTGAAACTGTAATCGCTTAGTGAGGCCAATAAGTTTGGTGAGAACTGATAGGAAACATATATTTGTAACGTGATCCTAATTATTTGTATGGAACTTGTATTGTTTATTCTAGCTACTGTTTATAACACGTTTTGTATATTTTCACGTACATGTTAACATACCGGAGTAAGAATACTCAGTAAGAGATTACACGTTCAGTTTACTAGTGCATGCAAGTGAGACTGCTGTGAAACTTTTAGAAGGTTTTATATAGGATGTTTATTACTTGTTATATAGGGTTTATGTACGATTTGGTAATGGGGTTCTGTTGTGATTGGAAGTGGGTCGATTTTATTTATGTTATTTTTTAACAACTGGGCGTCTTATACAACTATTTTTATGACTTTCATACAACTGTTGAATTACTGCAACGTGCACATGATATATATCACGTTAACTATGAAGTTTATTGGACACTTGTCAGTGTATACTAAATTACGATATGTAACGTGTCATGTGTTTTTATTGGAATTATTAACCTATATATAAAAACAAAAAAATCCGTCTAAACAAGACTCGTCAACTCTAATACGCACTATGTACCGTTCAGTATCGTAGTCGGCTACGTTACCTTGTCAACTCAGTGTGTGTCTGTGTGTGTGTGTGCGTGTGCGTGTGCGTGTGCGTGCGCGTGTGCGCGCGCGCGCGTGTCTGTGTGCGCGCGTGTGTGTGTGCGCGTGGGGGTGCGTGTGTCGTATACAGCACATTGCTTGCAGATGCAGCAAGTTTGACAGGATAATGTAGCGGACCACGATAGCTGTACATAAGAACGGGTCTGTTGTGGAGCTAGGATACAGCATGTGCGATTGGTTGTGCAACTACGCACGTCTGATATTTCTATGATTAATGCGCGTGGGTGGTGTGGGCGTAAATACGCGATGATTCACAGTGGAAACGAGTATTGAATCGACAAGGCAATAATGCGAGATTATTTTCGTATACTAATTCCAATATCCCAAATTCCTAGTGGGGGGGGGGGGGAGTGGCGGATCCAGGATTTCAAGGAGGGAGTGAGAAACAGGTGGGGAGTCTGGGGGGTCCTCCCACGGAAAATTTCGAAAATGTAGATCGCAGGAGATGGTATTTGAGGCACTTTTGAGTACATGTACAGCCTTCATTCTGACTACGACAATTCTCTTTTAGTAGATCAATGTTTATTTATTTTTGCTCCAAAATCTAGGGGGGCAGCTGCCCCCCCCCCTCCCGCAGGCTACGGCCCTGATATCACATCAGCGGGGGAGTTTATTTCTGTTAATTAATTATGACATTCTGGGAATAGGTTCCGTTGATGCATGCGCATAAATAGAACCAGTTACCCGTTTCTATCATTTGGATTCCCTCTCAGACAAAATACGTACGTACGTAATTAGTCTCTATACATTACTGTTTCATAAAATGAAGACTGGGCTTAAACTACGATATAGTCGTCGACGTTGCAGAATCGTTATATCGCAGAAAGTGACATCATGGCATGATGATCGAGCTTAGAATTTGTATTTTCCCATAGCCCATGCAAGTATTAGTTAATGCCGTTTCCAGTTAGTTTTCACTACATAGTGAACATTAACCTTTCGTTAGTAGCTTTCTTTCCTGTAAAACTGGAAATTTAGGTAACATAATATATACTACTTACTAATTAGGTTTAACAGCTTAATACGCCCAATTACCTGTGTGTACTTGTACGTGTCACATACTACTGAATGACGGAGAAATTGCCGTTTCCTTTTCGCCTCGCGTTAAAGCTGAATGAAAACGTTATTTAAGAATGGGTTATATTTGAACTGAAATTCAGGTACTATAACTACGAGCTTTTTTATGTGTCTAAATTCATCAGGGGGCGTGTATCTCTCGTTTTTGTGTTTTTGTGTGTGTGTGTATTACGCGTAATAAGTGTCGCAGTTTGCTGTCTTTCTAGAAGATATATGATGGTATTGGCGGTGTTTTTATTTAAGAAGTATGTTTCTTGAGTATAACACTTTAAGTGTATTTGCTACCTCGGCTAGGATCATACGTGTTTGTATTCGTATGTATGTATATATGTGCGTGTGTGTTGTCGCTCGTTGGCGTACACGTGCATGTGCGTGTGTGTCTGTCATTGCACTGGAAATATGTAGCAAACCTTGCCCTTTGTGCTCGATTTGACTCAATTTAGTTAGCTATGCATTGCCTTCGTGAAAGTGCTTTATTTTCTTGAGTAGCCTTGTAGACACTGAATGATATCCACGCGAGTTTGTATTTAATTACGTCATGTTAAAGAAAGATGATCTGTGGGGTATTAAATTACCCCAACATTGTTATGCATATTTTTTAGGTGGTATTGGTAATAAACTCACTCCTTTAACCAAATTTCTTCCATTATTTTCAAATTCATTGACTGGGAAAAGATTGTAGAAATCAAACAGACAAATTGCCAGTATATTCGTGATTCAGTGAACTCTCAGCCGCACAATATATGTTCTCACGATTTTTTGCAAGTCATATATGCACAGTTTCACAAACATCGATTCACGTAGATTTCCACTGTGTGCGTGTGGAGTGCAATCTATACTGTTGTACGTGTTTGTTGTTATCATGTATATTATAGGGTATACTTATAACCAATTTGTTAAATAATAAATACCGCACATACTTGCACCGAGTGACGCGGCTAGGTGGTCTGGGGCGGCGATCAATTAATAGCCTGGCGTGTTATGTCTCCTGTAGTATACGATACATCCTCACCCAATCCTCACATTCCTATATAATTAATATATAGGGGGCCCTATTAATAGCAGCACGCCACCTCGACTTTACGCTTCCGAAGATTCTATACAGCGTTGAATTTCGGAAAGAGGAGATATTTGGATTCAACTGGTTGAGCTTTTGTTTTGAGGCCTGCTTGCTGTCACGTGACAATAACTATATCGTGCATGGTTCGCACAGTCCTTGAAAAGTCCTTGAATTTGAGGGGAGTCCTTGAAAAGTACTTGAATTTGAGGGGAGTCCTTGAAAAGTACTTGAATTTAGTCAATGTTGATTTTGTGCTTGAAAAGTCCTTGAATTTCATGAAAATGTCCTTGAATTTAGTAAATGTTGATTTTGTGCTTGAAAAGTCCTTGAATTTCATGAAAATGTCCTTGAATTTTTAGAAAGAATCCTTGCCTGTAATAAAAATAAATTTTGTACCATCAATCATGTGCAAACCTCAATAAAAATTGCGTTAAAGGAGCTTAAAATGCTATAGACACGATAGACAGTTAAATGATGATCACAAATTACAGTAAGTCGGTAAAATCAGTCAGTAAATCAAGGTATGTTGTAGAAGTGACAGTGTTTAGAAGGGTTTATTAATGTGATCCATGTAAGTTTTAGAGGTGACCGTGATTAAGAATGGGGTTATTAAATTAATCCAGGTATATTTTGTTCTGCATGTATGAATTCCGATAAAATGTTCTTGAAAAGTCCTTGAACAAATTTTCAGTCCTGTATGAACCATGTCGTGGCACCGCCACTACACCGGTAGAGCCATCTGCACGCGTGTAGCCTACTAATGGTTTAACCTATAGTTAAACACCGAAACTCGAGTCGTTTCTTCAATGAAATAATGGTAATTAAAAACGCCTCTTTTGTTCGTTCGCGCACAATGACTTGCGTACGTACGTGAGACGTTGTAGAGGACGGATTTACGTGTGGAGTTATTACGCGACCGAGAATACATAAACATTGAGACTTTTTGAGATCATTTTGTTATTGAAACGGCATTTAAGTCCCGGTGGGTTAAGCCAGCCGTTTAGCGAGCTATGTTAGCCAGCCAGGGAAGGCAGAGTTTGGGGGTGATTCCATCGCCGCCGTGTTTACACGAATAATCCAACCTGACAATAACCTTTAAAGAACACATGGTTATGACATTTCATTGTAATTTTGAAAGTACAGTAATGCTAAAGGATATAGGCGATACTATAGTATGTCGGGAAACAATTGTGCTGACGAAGTTTCATCTGATAGGGCATATCACGCGTCGCGGGCCCATATGGCAGGGAGTATTGTGGTGCAAACGCGCATACTATCGGAAATTTATCTAAATTCATATCGACGTGTTACTGGTAAAGGTGGATTGGTAAAGGATCTTAGTGAGTGATTAATGTTTTATTTCCACAAGGAGAGAGGGAGTCCGAGAGGAAATGAAAGTGTCAATGACACTGTAGCTCACCACAAAAAAAGGACACAAATGAGTGAGTGAGAAGA